ATAACCACGGGGGGCAGGCTAGAATAGGCCAATCAGTGGCCGCCGTACCGAGCGGACCCAGTTGGACTCCCCCCGCCACTAAGCGCATTAAAAAAAAGTATGAAGTGTCCTTACGTCTGGGCACTGCTTCATGAATGTAACTTCCTAATCAGGATATAGAGACAGTCGCCTTGTTTGTATCCAGGAGGTCTGCCGTTAGGATGTCGGCCCAAAGACTGGCTCTCCTTTGGCACTCAGTCTGCGTTGTATAGGCTAGAACTGCTTCCTTCCACAGTCACTCCCGTTCATCATTACAGTTCGACGCTATAAACCTCAGCATTTGAGTGAGTGTTGCTGATATAGATTGAGATGAGAGGTTCGCTTTAGGTTCCTGCCGCTTAGCTTCCAAAGCAGGAGTCCTCGGTTCCTAATGGTTGGGGGGGGGGTCTGTGACAGCCCCAAGCTTCCGAAGGCGGCAGCTAATAGCTAAATCATTCACCTGGAGGAGAACTGAACCCTGGACTTCTAGGCGTAGTTAAACGTTAATTTATTATGTGAACGAAACATCCATTTCAGTTACTCCATTGTTTGGGACTTTGTTACGGCGAAGGATGAAAAGGGCTTTAAAATTATGTTATTTATGAGGCATAATGGCGTCTTTAAACCAAGATATGTGGTGCAGTTACGCAATTGGCTCCCTTATTCCCTTCCGGGCTCATCTCATCTAAATAAGAGTGACTTCAGAGAGAATCGCACGAAGACAGACATTTCGTAGGAGGGAAAGTTTGAGACTGCAAGTCCTCCGGTTTTAACCCCACACAGTGCCTCGAACTCGGTACTTGTGTGATTCTTCCCCAAGAGTAGCATCCCGTCCAGACATTCTTGAGGCAATCTGATATGACTACGTATTGCTCCGTCACATTACAATTGTATCTAGTTCCAAACACCTCTCATATGGATGTCAATGAACTATCGCAGGGCTAATAGCTTCTTCAAATCCAACATAATTTTCTTCTCCTGATGCCTGTCAGCGAATATTTCCTCAATAATATGCCAAATATATATCTGGACGTAGGCCCAGTGTAGAAATAGCAAAGTAGTTAAAAGCTGCGGTTGTTTTCGCGCCCAAACATTCTGATGTTTCCGCATCTTCATAGCCAGTTGACATACGAAGTTTTGGTTAGTCTGTAAATATAGCAGATGGACCTGGCCGCGTTGATACTAGGCGGGTGTCCTGCTTGGCACTTTTGCGTTTCCTGCATTCCTGCAGTACCATAAACCCCAATTTATACATTCAGTTTTACTTCAGTAATTCCTAGAAGACAATTTTCATTAGAGGGCAGTAAATGGTAGTCATGATGGTCAGCTTCACGCTCCATGGCCCTTTATTTTCGATACTCCTTGGATTCGAGGCTGGGATGAGTTCTAGAGCCGACACAGAGGCGGTGGGGGAGAGAAAAATCTCTGCCCTGCCTTCCAGACTTCCAGACAGGAATACTATAAAGCTAAACTCCGTGGTTTTAGTCCGCAAGCGAACTATACCGACCAAGCGACCGCCGCTTGTCGGCGAAGTTAGTGCCAACTTTAGCGGATAGAGGGTGTCGCGTGGTCAGCGCAACGAATCCCCACGGCCGTTAATCTCGGGTTTCTAGACCGGAGCCGCTATTTCCTCGAAATAGCTCCTCAATTATCCTCAGAAGGCTGAGTGGACTCCGTTACAGACCCACAACTTCTCAGAAAATCTGGTAGCGCCGGGAATCGAATCCGGACCTCTGGATCTGTAGCCAGGAACTCTGACCACTAGACCACAGAGGCGGTCAGACATGAATTCACATGTTATAATATGTAACTTCTCAACAGTGACATAATTCATGTCTTTATAACGGTTCGTTTATCACAGGTTTCACGGAGCATGTTGGTGTGTATGTAATGCTTTAGCTCGTGCCCTGACATCTCAGGAATACAAGCCAGAAGCGTAACCGCTTGAGCCAAAATGCTCGGTGTGGCTGATAGCTGATGCCTTGTATGAGTGCGAAATTCGACCCCTCACTCTGAAGGCAGTGGAGCTGGGATAGCTCAGTCGGTATAGCGACAGGCTACGGGTTGGGAGGCTAGGTTCTGCTTCCGGTAGAAGCAAAATATTTTTCTCTTCTCCACAGCGTCCACTCCGACTTTGGAGCCCACCCAGCTTCTTGTGCAATGGGCACTGTGGGCTCTTTCTCCGGGAGTAAAGGGCTGAGGCTGAAGCTGACCACGCACCTCCATCTTGTGCGGAGTCCAAGAATGGTGGAGCTATACCCCCACTCCACATGCGTGGTCATGGCGTGGTGCTTAATTAATTAAGTGTAAGGACAGCTTTACCTGAAACCTGGGGGTCTGAGGCAATTACGTAACAAAGAACTTAATAATGTGTAGGGTCTACTGTACACGTAGCAGGCTGATTTCAAGGTAGGCTAATTAAAAGACGTCGAGTTTGGCCGGACGTGTAGCTCGCATACGGGAGACAATGCATATAGTATTTTGGTTAGCAAAATGTACACCAAATTTACGAAAGGCAAAAAGCTAGAGTTATCCATTAGCACTATGCCATGACATCGGCACTAGACAGAAGTGTAGTCAACTTCACTCCCTGGTCGCTTTACCCCCGGGGAAAGGGCATCCGGTGCCCATCTGGTAGGAAGCTGGGTGGGCCCCTGAACCGGTCTGGATGCTGTGGAGTAGAGAAGAATACCTTGCCTCTGCCGGGAATCGATCCCAATTGTCCAGCAAGTTGCCTGTCGCTGTACCGACTGAGGTAAGATTATGAAATCACTCAGGTAACCGAGAAATAGGTAAGAAGATAATTCTGAAGTACGAGTAAAATGAGTAAACAGGATGTGTCTATTTGAAGTGAATGTAAATGGTTTAGGATGGGGTCCAAGGATGAACTTGTGGTGTCGGGGCTGTAGCTTGTATTGGACACAGATCATGGTACATAGGAACAAGAATGAACAGGTTGGATTTGAGATTCTCACAAGCAATGGCTATGAAGAGTTCTGTCTTCTGGGATATAGCGCCTTGTAGTCCCATGAAATTGAACCTGCTTCCTGCGTGATGCTGGTTGCTTGCTTGGTTCACTGTTCGACCCTGAAGATGGAGGCGACATGTTCCGTAGGTTGTCTTTCACCGCACTACACAGTGTTACATCCCAGAATCTACAAAAGCGAAATGTGTACACAAATTTTCTGAATGTCTGCTTTGCAGTGCTGCACGTGTCATTTGCCCTGATATTACACTGCATAATCGTAAATTACTTTATTTTGTATTTCTTCAAATATAAAACATCTAAAATTTTTCCAATGGCAGTTTAAAATCTTAATGAAATCTGAATTTTACTTTATATAGGGCCCATTAATGTTTTCTATACTAAGTTATTTTTGATAAAATTGATAACGTTTGATTTGACTTTAATATAAAGTAAGTTATAATTATATTCCCAAAACAAGTTTTAGTACAACCTCTTGCCCCAAATCAAATAACGAGCAAGATTTCGTGGAAACTAATTTCTGAGATGCAACATGCAGACGGACTGGTAGGTGGGCAGAGAGACACAACTATCCCACTATTCGTTGTTTTTATACACTGTAGGAAAGGAGATGTTCGTAGAAATAGTAAAATTGTCTCTGTGCTTAATGAAGTACAGTACTGTGCCACAAAGACGTATGAAGGAGCAGGGAAGCTACGCTCATTCATTACCTCGGCACTAGACTGACGTAAATGGTTAGCTTCACGCCTCGGCCGGGTTACCCCTTGAGAAAGAACTCGGCCCCAGAGCCGCTCTGGACGCTGTGGAAAAGACAAAGATCTCTTACCGCTGTTGGGAATTGGATATTTGTTTCTCTGTTGTCGAGGCCGTAGCCTCATCGATATACTTCGAGCAAAACGCGTCGAAATAGTTGTGACTGTAAAACTGTTTTTTCATTTCTTTTTCAGAGGGTACCTGTCCGCTCTCCCCTCCCCCTCCTTGTCCATTGCTCGGGTGCTATTGCATTAACGCAGGTCAGACGCCATCAGGTCAAGGAAGAGTGTGTTGGAAGAACGGATGGAAACACGAGTATAGGGCACTGCGTGTGCAGTAATGAATACACGCCGTTGGTATAGTGACGATTGAGATGTCTTCTGATGCGTGTGGGCACATTCTTCAAGGGGGCGTTTTACTATTGGTAACTACTAGGCTTCGGTTTCTCAGCTACTGGAATCATGAGTCGCTCGCTCACGATCTAAAATCAGCTAGCTGGTATTTTTGGTGACTCCTTTGCTCTCCCACTCCCGCAGCACTCACAGCCTTCCCCTCTTCTACAGCCGATGTCGGCGGTCGCCAACTGTTACACACGGCCTAACACTCTTCGCTCGCAACTCGCATTCGACCGACGTCTGTAGTATATCGAATATGGCTCGGGGATGACTGTAATTATGTCTTGACTTCTGCTAATTGAAGCCGTGGTTGGCAGCTAACGAATATATTTATTTCTCAACAGACTAGTCATTAAGTTTCTCGTTTACGAATCTTTTTATTTAATCTTGTTTCTAACATCGAAGGGTTTGATTATTTTCAATTCGTGTGTTGTGTGATCTCGCGTGTGAAGTAACCGACAATGCAACGACAACAGTTTACTGGCCAGCAGCAGATATCCCAACAGCAAGTTACGCAGCAGCAACGGGTGGAGCAGCATGTAACCCGGCAGGTCACCAGCCAACAGAGAGGTCAGTTTGTGTTCCCCTTTCTTAATCAAGGCTCAGAACGAATGGAGTTCACTTTAACATACGTTGGCTAGTTGCTGTATTCAGTGTAATTTAATTTAATTAAGGTTTATTCAATGTTGTTTTCAGTTACGCAAGTTATTTTGAGTCGAATAATAGGATGGTAATTTGGAAAGTTTGTGGAAAGAAGCTGTAATGAACTAATTTAAGGTAGACCCATCCCGGTAGTTGTTTTGAGGGACTGAGGGAAACAACGAATATTCTTAGGCAGGTGGCCGGCCTCAGACCCGATATTCGAACCCGGGACCTCCAGAATATGACGCATCAGTGCTAAACACTCTGCCCAACTATAGGCGCTGATTCAGATCAGTTACGGTGTTATCATCTGTAAATTCACTGACAGGTTGTGGCAGTGGAAAATGAGAAGTAGTTTGTGTTGGGTGTAGTGCCTGTCTGTGCCGGGACAGGTCAGCCCGGTAAAGTGACTTGCCGCGGGCTGGCCGACCGGGATTAGATTCCCGGCTGGGGCAAGGATTTTTCTTTTTGCCATCCCATCCAGATTGACATCGGGACTCACCCACGGGGTCCAGCGGGTAAGTGGATTTTTTCATGGGGTTAAAGCCGCCGGAGTGCAAAGCTGACAATTCACTTCCGCCTAATGACGAGGGAAAGAATGCGCAGAGCTTTACTTCTCCTCCCCCCTCTTCATGATGTTGTTTATCACAGGAACAACTTCTCATTTACTTTATTCTTATCTACTACAGTAGAATACCGATTATCCGAATTAATTAGTGACAAAGGAGGTTCGGATAATTGGATCAAATTCATGTCCACTTAAACACTGTTGTAACACAGTTATAATGTACTGCAAGGTAAAATCCCTGTGCTTAACCAACGAAGCACTACGCTATGAAGGCGTATGGGGGAGTGGATGTATAGATCCATATTTCCTTGACCTCGGCCCTAGCTGTAGGTGAGTGGTCATCTTTACACCCCTGCCGTTTTACTCCTGAGGAAAGAGCCCCCGGTACCCACTGGAAAGGAGGCTGGGTGGCCCCCAGAGCTGGTCTGGACGACGTGGAGAAGGGAAAATTATTGACCCTATCGGGACCCGAACTCCAACCCCACGGTCGCCCAGCCCGTAGCCAGTCACTATACCGACTACGCTATCCCAGCTTAGACCTTAATTTAATGGAGCAAGTACGGCCAGTGAAATAAGAAAATTGTTCTCAAGTGGGATACGGCGCCGTGTAGTGTGGTTTATATAGGGTGCTCCTACTGCTCGAAGAAAGAGGCAGGAGGTGTCTATCTACCAAGATACACGGCGTCACATCCAAGAATACAGCAATATTCGTAGTCACCGGATGAAAACTTCGAATTTCGCAGGTAAAATGTGATACATTGCAAATACGCGGTGATTTGTGAGACCGGCAGTGAAATGGATCAGTGGGTGAATATTACGCAGTGAAAAATTAATTCATACCACATATTTCATAGATTGTATTTTGCATTGTAATTTTGTTGAGGAAATGTCGTATAAAACATGCAGTCCTACATCTGTAGTTCGCGTTCTTGCAACGTCTGATCTTTAGGATGAAATTATTAATGCTGTAATCAGGATACCAGAAGTATAGCGTTTTCATTAGAGATTGATATTGCTGTTCACATTCGTGTATTTCTGAATTCTGGTAGTCAGTCTAAATATTGCCACGTGTATGAGTGACTATAGACGGGGTGTGGATTGGATATTGGATTTATTGATGACTTACAGACCGTAACTACAAATAACTATAACATTATCGCCAGTCTTCACACTTTACAGTTCACTACGTGCTAAGTCTTCTTCACTCTGTAGTGTCTTCACTAGACTTTTCCTGGTAACGGATTTTAACAGTGGAGATTCTTCAATTTCACGCGCTCAAGTCCTCTCTTCATAGACTTCCGTACAGAACTGAACCTGACCCCCCCCCCACTTGTCTCCCTTGTAACTCCTCGGCACGGACCACGCAGAAACACCCCGTTTCCAACAGTACGTCTACTGGTGGGCGCCGATTCTTGCTGCAGAAACGTATTTACCGAGCCGTTGCCTAGAAACGTCTCTGGTATATTAGCCTATCTCGCGGTCGTCACATAGTAACGACTCTATACGCTACTATATATATAGTATATATGAGGATGGTCGAAAAGTTTTGTGCCCCTGTAATCTTCGATTCCTGGCAGTGGTAAGAGATTTGTTCCTTTTCTGCAGCCTTCCGACCGACTGTGATGGCCCCCCCCACCCAGATTCCTAGTGGTCGGAGCGTGAAGCTGGCGGACTCCATCTAGTGCCGAGGTTAAGAATGCGCGGAGCGGTGCTAAATTAAGCACAGGGGGCAACTTTGCCGTTTACCTGACGTAACAGAAAGAATGTTAAAATAGAAAGGAAAAATACACGTAGAACAGTGTAGGAATGTGCTTATGACAGGCTGAGTTTTACCCACCCGACTGTTGACCTGAAAGCGGACTGATTCTAGGCCTCATTACATTCTGCTCCATGAAGCCGCCATTCTTCAGAACCGTAAGTCGGCAAATAATTTCTCCTTTTATGGAAACCGAGGTTCATTACCGCGAAAAGTGCGACAGCATCGCATCTCACAGAGTCATTAAAGTGATCACAAGAGCCCGCATATATTAGTCTATTAGAATGATTAAGTTACTCAAATTAGGTCAGTAATTTCCTCATCTGCATCATAGTTGTGGGCGCCATTGTTGCCATGGCCGGTCTCACACTTCAGTTCCTGCAAATAATAATTTATTACTGTTGTAATTTCTGCTGTTCTCTACAGTTGTTGCCAGTAAGGAGGCATGAAGACCTGCTTTACTTTATTTAAATTACAGATAACCATGAGAATGTGTACCATGTAAATACAGGTAAGCAGAGACTGCTCGTGTCCATAGTGAGCCTCGCTGAAAGCGCTCTAATGACGTGGTGTACGAATAATTGCAGCAGTGTCCTCAACCCTATTCAACGGCTTGCGACTAAAGGAAGGAAGAGCTAATTATGCGACATTTATTAAACAATCTTCCCAAGCTTGCTGACTTTTTTTTTTCTTTCTTTCTTTCTTTCTTTCTTTCTTTCCTTTTCGCCTTCTCCGTATTTTCCTTTGGATTATTATTTTTTGTGGTTCATTTTACAACGCTGCCATTTTTTTTTCCTTGGCACTACAGCCCCAGTGGGCCTAGGCCTACCTCCATGAACTTCTCCGTTCACTTCGGTTTTTCTAGATCTTACACGTTCGGTAGGACTCCTTGGGCGGGTGATCAGCTCGTCGCAAGGCCTCTACCTGTACACAAACACAGAAAAACGCACACAAACATCCATGCCCTGAGTGGGATTCGAAACCACGATCCCGGTTTCCAAGCGAGCGAAGACAGTACATGCCTTAGACCGCTAGGCTACCGTGACCGGCAACGCTGCCATTTGGAGCATATAGGATCAAGTGGTAGGGTTACTGATGAATAATGAGTTTGAAAGGAAGCGGTCGTGGCCTGGCCAAGGTACAGCCTTTGCATTTGTCTGGAGGGACTTAGAAAAACAACGAAAAACCTTAGTCAGGATATCAGGTGCCCCGACCGAGCACTTCAGAAATCTACTTTGTCCCTTGGACTGTCGTTTATGAAGATAGAGTGGAGCAAACCCAAAGGGACATTTTAGTACAAAGCTGGAGTGTTCAGTGGCCAGTCCCTTGGTCTAAACGCGCTGTATAAGTTCCGTAGGAGACTTGTGGGAATTTCAAGTCCCAGCAAATTTCTATATCACCACAGTACTTCTTTTGCATATGTAAGTTATGTAAGTTCACATTTACGTAAAAACTATTTTGTTTCGGTATCTCCTATTCCACATTGACAAAGTTTTACTCTTTGAACAATCCTGTCGGATCTTCAATTTTGTTTGGTAAAGCAATATTCTCATTTCACCCTTGGAACGAACTGTAGTTTGTTGCTCTGGAACTTGTTCTTTGAGTTTTTAATATATAGAAACATGAGAAGCAAACCAATTTAAGAAAAGTTGTCTGCGGACTAAATGCCAACGCATCATACATTGCCCTGTGAAAGAATAAATGAGAAAAACTTGAGACCGTAACAAGTAACAACATCTTGATGTTTCTAGCTGAAAGATCAAGTGGGCACTCTCTTGCTTCGTCCGTGTTTCCTCCCCCCCCCCACTCTGTGTGAACTGGATTTAAGTGTTTTAGTTTTCTGGATTACGAAGTTTTAGAACTTTGGCCATCGCCCAGTGTTCTGAAGAACACAGCGTTTCGGAAATTGGATCTGAACTTCCCGTGATAAGAGGTTAGCTATTTCTAATGGATCCAACAGCGTATATGCCATGTACCCTTTCAGCTGAGGAATGGAAACATCCAGTTTCCGAAACGTGTTCTGCAGAATGCCGGCCGGGGGGCTGAGTTCAAAACTCAGTAATTCCGAGTGCCATGTACAGGAGGCAGAGTCTTTTAAAATCGACTTGTTTTAATTTTCTTAATCGACTTAAAAATACGTGCATCGGTTGAACATATCTGTGTCGAACAATGGCACCACTTACCTGGAGATGAGGTCGCGCGGCGGCCCGGGCTCGATCCCGGGACTGGTCAAGTGGGATTTGTGGTGGACAGAGTGGCGCTGGGGCTGGTTTTCTCCGAGTACTTCAGTTTCCCCCGCCAATCTTAATTCCACCAATTTCTTCACAGTCACCGTCACCTATCCAGGGACTTAGTCCCATCCCACTAGCAATAAACAAAATACCTGGAGATGACAGTAGAAACGTTGTGTGGATGAACTCTACCTCAGTATTGGGAGGGTCTGTACAGGAAGTTACGAAGCGCTAGATAACGTTAGCAACACGATCTATTGAGCTGCAGATAATAACAAACACCACTCGGAGAGCTAACGGAGTGGCCAGTAACTATCGCCGTGTTGCTCCACGAGGACTGAGCATGCCTAAGCAATGGTGTGTACTTATGCAA